GCAAGTCACTTAACCTTTCTGTGCCGCAGTGGCCCATCTGTAAACCAGGGAGAATGACCCTGCCCTACCTCCCAACGGGTGCTAAGACTTAGCGTGTTGAGATCCTCAAAGTGAAGATGCTAGGAAAGGGCAATGTATATTAAAGCATTAAGCAACTTGATTTGCAGTTTCTCCCCGAGGACCTGATCCTGCACTCAACGGGCGCCTTTGCATGCATTTAAGGGGGCTTTGGCTCAGGACCTAGGAGTCAAATCATCCTTTTCCCCTCAGAAAAGTACAGAAGGTGAAAACTTCCCAATGCCATTCCCTGGGGTTTCTCCTGCATCCTTCCCTCAGCATGGTGGGGCAGAAAATGGCAAAGACAGGGCAATGGGGTGTTGCCAGTCAAAGGCTCCTACACGGGATATCCCCAGCAACTGTGCATCTAGGTCTAATATATACAGCAATTGCTCCTATTGGTTTTCAGCCTCCTCTACACTACGCTATTCCCAGGTCTGCCCCTAGCCTGTTGGGTGACCTTGAGCGAGTCGCCACTGCTCTGTGCCTCAGTTTCCCCACCTGTCAAATGGAGATAGCAATGCTTACATCTTTGGGACGCACGCTGGGGCCTCCAGACGAGACACGCTGTCTAACAGCTGCCCATGCCACTCAGACGGGTTCGGTGCCACAGCCTCCAGACGTGCTGATGTGAACTAGTGTGGCTATTTGCTGCCTAAGCCCTGACAGGTTTTCAGGAGACGATGTTGCCTAGAGCAGCAGCTTTTCTGTGACTCTGAGTCCATCCCGCCCAGCGGCCATATCCCCTCACCCATTGTGCAACCCGAGCTATGTGACGTTGGTGCTGAATTCCTTAAGGCCACAGAGCCCCTGGCTCCTCTGAGACTGGCATGCTATAAATACACTGGGTAGATTAGCTACATATTGGGGGCGGGGAGGGGCAACATGAATGTGCATCTGTTCCTCTCTATGCCATGGTGGCCCAGACAGCAGGGGGTGGGTAGAGATATGTCAGCCGTTGCTCTGCATGGTGGTGGCAGGACAGCTCTCTCCACCACACAGCCTCTGTTTCCCGGGGGATGTCACAGGCTCTGCCATCCCCATCCCTGAAGGGAATGCTACTCTCCAGCGCTGCCCGCGGCAGGGACAATCCCTGCTCCGTGCCAGCAGCGGTTGCGTGTGCTCCCCGTTGCAGGTGCCGATCCAGAGGAGACGATCCTGAACGCATTCAAGGTGTTTGACCCCGAGGGCAAAGGCCTGAAATCTGACTAGTAAGTGCAGAGCAGCGATTGGGGTGTGCATGGGGCGGGGGGAGCTGTTCTGGTTTCCTCAGCGTCCCTCCCTCATTCTGACAACATGCTCTTTTATTTGCAGCATTAAAGAAATGCTGATGACGCAGGGAGAGAGGTTCTCCCAGGAAGAGGTATGCATAGGGCTCCTTTTCACCTCCATCCTTATACAGGGTGCACCATCCAGCAATGCCTAGCACTGATCTGTTTACTGCGCATGCGTGGACAGCAGACGCAGGCTGTAACAGGTCGGCTTACCTTTCCAGTGTAGAGCACTGGTCCGTGCCTCAGTTTCCTTGTTGTGACTCATTATCCGCATTGGTCTGCAGTCTCCCTTTTGTGGCGGGGTGATCTAGTGCTTTGGGCAGAGGGACGAAGCAAGAGCCCTCCCTTATGGGGCAATCACAAGAGTTCAAATGAAACAGTCCTTCCCCCGCTCTAGACTAAACAGTGCCTCAGTGTCTCCCATAGGGGATTCTCACCACCTCATGGGGACGATAGGGAAGCCGATGCCCGGCCTCTACGCTGGGACCCAGCTCTGGACCCTGCTGCAACCCCAAGATCATCCTGCGGCACAATTCCCACTGCCCACACTTCCTACCACTTCCCATACAAATTCTCTCCAGAGCTCACCAAAAAGTCCTCTACAGCCCATTTCTTACCTCTCCTTAGGGTCCTCTCATTGTTCACCGCAGCCCTCTTGGGCAGCCCCCCCAGCTCCCCTACTCCAGGGCTTGCCATGTCCCTGGCCGCTCCCACGCTGCCCACAGACAGTCCTTTGATTGTCCAGCCCTCGTGTTACTTGGGGGCTGGGGGCACCGAGCCAAGGTCAGAGCCATGACATAGGGCTCCAGGGTGCTGGGGGTCCATCACATCAGGCCATTGCACAAAGTAACAACAATTCAACGAAGCAAATCAGTCTATTGCAACAGAGTCCATCTCCCACAGCCTGTCCCACCCTATATCCTGGGGTCCAAGAGCGCTGGGCTTTGGGGGAGTCTGGGAGCTAAATTTCACAGCAGGCCCCTTTCCATAATCAGTCAAACCCAACACCTCCCGCCTCCCCCCCGGATACAAACACCCCCAAAAAGTGAGAATTCAAACCCGGCCCAGATCCACATGTCACCATCTCTGTGATGGCTGGGACCAAGCCATCTCTGAATTGTGCAGGGGGTGTCAAGCAGCACCCAGGGCTGGGCGTGGACCCAACCACGGAGCGATGGAATCCCATCAGTGCTTCACACGGCACCGCGCACCGCGGGATAGGAGTGGACTGGCAAGCGCCTTCAGTGGAGCTGGGGGTCAGGGCACAGGATTAATGTAGATCAGGGGCCTTACAGTTAGGGAAGCGTTAGAGACTTTCCTTTACCGCCCATATTTCCATTGCTCGGTTAACAAGCTAGCGAAATAAGGGCAGGCAGCCGCAACGACAGTCTCCAAGTCCCATCCTGCTTCCATTGAAGCCAATGGCAGAACTTCCAATGATTTCAAACAGCTCCCAGCCCCCTCCTTCAGATCTGCTGACCTGAATACCCAACTAGTCTCTTTAACCCTTTCCCTTCTGGGCCCGTTTACATTGCAGATCGACCAGATGTTTGCAGCTTTCCCCCCAGACATCACTGGAAATTTAGACTACAAAAACCTCGTCCACATCATCACACATGGAGAAGAGAAGGATTAAGAACCGGGGTTGCGCCAATTCCTCAGGCACAGTCATGGGGATGATACCTTGTAACTGGGGAAATGCATACCTGAATTGTGTCCACATTAAATTATACATTTTGCAGGAGGAAATCCAGCTGCCTACGTCAATAGCGATAAGGGTCTGTAAACTAAATGCTCTGTCTGGGGCAAACACAACCCTGCAGAGCTCCAAGGTTTGTGTGTGTGTGTGTGTGTGTGTTAGAGAGAGAGATCTCTCCAGCTGTGGGCTGAGTCACACAAGACTCAGTGAGCCAGATCTAGTCAAGGTCACCACCGAAAAATTCCTGCGACTGAATTTCTGACGATTAGACTCGGTTACAGGGAAGGTGGCGAAGGCTTGTCCAAGGTGGGTTGTGCAGCTCGGGCTACCATGGCACATGGTGCTGCCCTCCAGTGATACCGTTCTCACTTTGCAAACATCAAACAGCAGAAGCCCAGCAGGGAGGAAATGGGCTCATACTGTGTGACTCGCTGTCAAACTGCCGCTAATCCAATGGTGCACGGTACATCGCTGGCATTAGTAAACTTCTCTTACTGGCCAGCATGCGCAGACCACTAAAGCTTCTCTTTCTCTCTCTGTGATGGGGATCATGCAAGGTATGGGGTGCTTAAAAGACAAAATAACTAAGGCTCAATTGTGCTTTTGATGGCAATGCAGGGCTACCGTGCCCCCTTTTCCAACAGCAACATGACTACGGCTGTCTGCCTTGAGAGCACAAAGACATGCAGCGATTTTATCCTCGCAAACCCACTGGAGCAGGCTCCCTTCATTCACACCCCTCTGGAAAATAACCCACTTCGGCAAAGCGCACAACACTGCTGTCCCATGTGGCTACAAAACCATCACCACCCGAAGTGAGAAATCTTTCCAAGCTACCGCCACCTCTCTGGATCTCCCAGGCATCTTGTCAGAGTCTCCTCTGTCCTTGGAACAGGAACTGTCAGTGAGATCTTCAAAAGCATCTAAGGGTATCAATGTCTGTTTCAGACTGGAAGATCAGGCAGTAGCTAACAGTCAGACTGGTTGCTTCCACTTTTGAGCTTTTCTATAGTGATAACAACACCACATAGCTCTTATACAGAGCTTTTCATGAGTAGATCTCAAAGCACTTTACAAAGGTCAGTATCCTTATCCCCATTTTACAGATGGGGAAACTGAGGCACAGAGCCCTGGATGTGAGTTGCCTAAGGTCACTCAAGAGGCCAGTGGCAGAGCTAGGATTAGAGCCCAGCTGTCCAGAGTCCCACTCAAACAGTGCCTCTCCTGCTTTCTAGTTTCCCCCCTTATGTCTAGTTGTCTGGGATTCTCGCCAGTGCTTGTCTACCGACAGAATATTTGTTAATTGAAAAAAAAACCCCACAGAGATGTTAAAAATCATGGACTAGATCCTCAGCTGGGGTAAATCAGCTCTACTGAATTCAATGGCGCTCTACAGCGAGGAGCCAGCCCCACGTACTAAGAGGTGAGAGGCAGTCACGGTCCAACAGAAGAATCATCTCAGGTCTGAAACACTTGGAAGTGCAGCATCAATTCAGGCCTCCATCCCTTGGTTTATTCTGTGGGGACTTTAAACAGGGCCTGCCTGCTCTGTGCAGATATGAAGAGCCCATGGCAATTTGCACAGGCAGAGGAGATGGAGACGTGAGGTCATGCCAACCTGTGGCCATTAAATGCCCATGCACTTAGAGCACCAGCATTTTGCAACACAGAGGACGTTAGTCCCAGTGCAGCAGTCAAACTGTGGTGAACTATTGTTAGATGGCTGCTGCCCTCCTTCCCACCCCAGAAATGGTTGCATTTCATTATATGTGATGCCTGCCTATAATTTGTACAGCTTTGTTTTAAGTTTGGGATCCTGCCGGATGGCAAAGGCTATTGTAAATACAAGACAGTACTAGCATTCCAGAGACTTAAAGTTAGCTTTGTTTAAATTAAGCACAGAATCGGATTTTGATTTCAAGTGAATTAAGAACCTATTATTTATACCCAGTGTATTTGCTTTCCCTGGTCTATAAAATTATCCCTCTCTTCTTCTCTTTGTCCAGCGAGATCACACTGGACTTTTCCTTCTCGAAGTTCTCAATAATCAGGTTGCGCAAACTGCCCTGGTCCAAAGGCCAATCAACTGTTTCAAAAGAAATTAGGATTATTAGGGTGAAAAATCTGTCCAGAGCTTCAGTTAAAGTCCTAACTTGTCACTGCGCTTGCTGCAAACCCGCACTGTCTGATAACTGTATCAGAAGGCTGCTAATACCATCTCATTAATAATATGCAAATCCAGGGGCCCACGGAGTTTCACCCACTCGCATTAGTGTTAAATATGGCCCCGGCTCTGCTATGGCATTTCATTCCCACAGCCATCTGAGTATGACATTTCTAAGTCCCAGACTGTCAGAAATTTGCCCACTCTAATAAAGCAGTGAACCAAATCTTGGGTAGGCACTGAGCACATACATCTCCCATTGACTCCAGCAGGAACTGCAGGCCCTAGGGAACTCCCAGCATTTGGCCCCATCTTAGAAACTATAGAGCCTGATTCTGTGACTCCATTCCTGCGCTAGAGGCAGGGGTGGAGGTGACTTTTAGCCGCCTTTGCTTCCCTATATTTTGGGGCTATAAAGGATCCCGTTTTGTCCCTGGTTTAATTTAGAGCAGCCCCAGGGCTGCTCTTATGCTTCACTTCCCCTGGCCACTATGAGCCCTGGGAAGCAGAGAACAGCCATAGTGCAGTGCACTCCAGCCATCCCATCACAGAAGCTGGGAGCAGGGCTGGCGCAGAGCTCTTATGCCCACCGGGCAGCCCCCTCCACAGGGAATATTATTGTAGCATCCTTTCCACCTGCTTTAAGGCTTCTTTATGCCAGGGCAATGTAAAAGGGCCTTGGCGTAGTTGGGAACCAGGCCCAGTTAGATCTTTCAGAACAGGCTCCCAGGGGAAGTCGTGAAAGCCCCATCACTAGAGCCATATCAAGCCAGGCTGGATGGAGCACAAGCCAAGATGGGAACGTATTGGCAAGTGGGTGGGGGGAGACAGTTATAATCCTGGGAGCCTTTTCCACCTCTGACTGCTGTGATCCTGCCATTTGATTCACATTCCCCATTTTGTTCCTTTTGCAGTCTCCTTGCTTCCGCCCCAACCAGGCCTTTATGGTTCCGTTCCTGTGTGTGATAGGTAGCATTTGGATGCAAGTGAGGCTGAGAGAGAAGGTGTGAGTACTTACAGTCCTCTATGTTCTCTGCCATGTGCTCTATGGTAGGGGAAGATGGGGGTAATTTTGCTGCATCTGTACTTTTAAGGAGTCCTGTGCCACCCAAAAATGGATTCAATAAAGGGAGCGAATCCTGCTCTCCCTCGACCTCCTTATAGCGCAGGAAGGATTCAATGAGCAGGAGATCATTGGTTTTCTTTTCTATGATACCTGTGGGGGACAAGTTGAAACCGATGGACCCCCAGATCCAGGCATAGATACCGTCCATTCTGAGACCACTTCTGGCAAAAGCCCGACTGGGAGGCAGGAACCTGGTTTCTACTTCAAACTCTTGTGTGACATGGGTTATGACTGGCTAGGTGAGGCCTTGGGTTTGTGGGGCCCTATACAAAACAGACTAGACCCTAAGGTCCCCCCCTAGAGACAAGAATAGAACTCAGGAGTCCTGGTCCCCAGGCCTCTGCTCTAACTATTCGGCAACACTTCTTCCCAGAGCGAAGAACAGAATCCAGGCTCCCCAGACCCACTCCAACCACTCGAGTGCTATACAAAATAGACCTGACCTCACATTCCCCCCCAGAGTCAAGAATAAAACTCAGCAGTCCTGATCCCCAAACCCTGCTCAAGCCCCGAGACCCCACATTCCCCTCTAGAGCCAAGAAGAGAACTCAGAAGTCCAAGAGCCCCTTGTTCTAGCTACTAGACTCACGTTCACTCCCACCATAAATGTGTGAGTGTCTCACTTCTCTCTCAGTGAGTTTCTCTGAAATAGTTTGGGTTTTTTTGGACCTTTAGTAAAATTCGGGCAAAGGAAAAATAACTCACAACTCACCAAAATACTGCATCAGGTTCAGATCCGTGATCTCCCCACTCTCACCAAGCTGCTCCATTATCTTGGTGTCCTCGCAGTGTATTTGTTTAAACAGAAAGTCCACAGCGGATTTGAGCTGGTCTAGGACCTTGCTGCTCTCTTTACAGGTGTACTCATACAGGTTGGCCTCTTCGGTGGTTTTCTTCAGCTTCTCCTATCAGCACAAAGCAAAGCCATCCCAAGAGTTATCTAGGCTACAGGGCTTGTACCATGTACAAGAGCTGGGCCCAAAGCGAACCCCCCCAAACTGTGCCCCATCCAAATACCCCAAACTCTGTTTGCAGCTCAGACCCAATTTCAGTTTAGGGTTGGAGGATTCGAGGAGCATCTCCACACAGAAGGTGAGTGTGAAAGACACTGAGCACAAAGCAGTGTGGAAAGGTTTTGGACTGATCTCATCCCTGCTGTAATTCTACTGATGCCATGTGTCTGGGGGGAGTAGCCCCCTCCTGGCAGCCCCTTGAGGATGACAGAATCATAGGACTGGAAGGGAACTTGTGAGGTCTTCTAGCCCAGTCCCCTGCACTCCAGGCAGGACTAAGTATGCAGGACATCACCACCAAGTGTCCCCTGAAAGATCATGAAGCAGGAGATACTCAGCACTTAGGAGACAGGCTAACAACGCCCCACTTCCCCCAAGTAATCTCAATAAGTTGGGAGGCCCCAGGTGGCTAGGAAGGGCCACTTGTGGGGAAGAATGAGCCAAGGGCTCCGTGAATTGCATAGACTGGGCCTGGGGTGACTGACAGGGCTACACCCTGAGCCCATCTGACTTGGAGTGTGGTCAGGGTTGGTGTGCAGTTCCCAGTCACAAGGTCAGGCCTGCACTCGCAGAGCCCGCTCCAGCATCCTGAGCCGGAGGGGTTTCAGACAGGGGCTGAGAGAAAGGGCTGGCAAAAGCCAAAGCAGGGTCCTCTGCTCGGATCAGCCAATCACTGCCCCCTCGGCACACACTGGTATCAGAGCTGACAGGAGGGGAGGGAAGGGAGGGTCTAGAACTAAGGGTGCTGGAAGGGGCAGGGGCTGGATTGGAGGACCCTGAACAGTGGGTCTGCACCCCTGCACACTACAGAGCTCTGCACCCCGCTGGGCAGAGGTTTTCAGGGGTGGCCTGGAGGCAAAGGGGCAGAGCAGGACCAATGGAGGGCAATGGCCATTCTCCTCCATAGGAGGGTAGCATTCGGTCTCCGAGGCTGCAGCGCTGGCACTGGAATAGCTCCTTCTGCCAATGCCCATGCAGAGAAATCCCAGGGCCTGGCCAGGCCATGCAGACGGCATCCAAGGGCCCAGAATCGAGCCCATACAGTACATACCGTACAGCCAGGGGGTAAGTCACGGGCTAGTGAGGCTCTCCCCGGACAGCTCCTTACCTCCATCTCCTTGAGGCTGGTGTTGCTTTTGTCATCAGCAAACTTCTGTTGGGATTTTTAAGTGAAGAATTTCATTCTACATAAAATATAAGCACATACGACTAATGATTAGGGCTGCCCCACACTGCTGAGCAAACCATATCCGGGGACTTTGTATGCAGTGTCTGTGTTATACCCTCAGTGGGGCTGATTCCACACAGGGTCTGCTTCCTGCAAGGAGAACAGGAGTACTTGTGGCACCTTAGAGACTTATTTATTTGAGCATAAGCTTCCTGCTCTCATTTACCCTGACTGCCAATGGGCTTGCGTGGGAACAAGACAGGCCAGAGTACGGCTCCTTGTCTTCTTCCACCTTCTATTAAAATAGTCCCTTCCAAAATCAAGCAGGATTTTCTGAAAGCAGCAGCAAGTCCTAGCAGTATCCCCTCCCTGGGTGTTGGAAGAGCAAATGGGAGAAAAGTTCTACTAATCGCAGCAAATACCATTATTCTGAGCTCATGTCATTGCAGCTTGAAAAATGTGGGCCAGTTCCTCATCAGCTGGTGTAAATCAGTGGGGCACTGCTGAGTTACCCCAGCTGAAAATCTTGTCTTTGGTGGAGGGCCTGAAGCTCAGGGGATCGGTAATCAATCATTCTCTGTAAGGTATCTATCACCTTAGGATCCAAGTGACTGGAAACACTTTGGGGCACAACCATCTTTTTGTTCTGTGTTTGTACAGCCCCTAGCACAATGGCATGTTTGTACAGCACCTGACACACCTCCTAGGCACTACAGTTATACAAATAATATATAATAAAAAAATGCTGCCACCCCAGTGCTATACCCCTCGTGGAAATGCCAGTGCACTCCCTTGAATGCTTCAACCTGTCTATATTCGTGTCTGTTGGATTCAACTGGAGGACCAGTAGTCCTAGGATCCAGTAAGACCAGTACCCCCATGGCTCTGCTCCAAAATGTAGTGACCAGCTGGAACCAGCTGAACATTTTAAACTGGAGAATAAAATCACAAGAGATCACAGCTCATTGTGCTGTTCAACTCCAAGAGTGAAACGGGCGTTACAAAGTCAGCCTATTGGATTTGTGTTAATTGCTTTCAACTGCCAGTCTGCCGGGTGACTAGAACAACCAGCCAATGCCTGACGGAGGTGTTCCGCACCTGGAAAGCACAAAGCAGAGCTCCAAGGCACAGGTGATGCATCGTAAAGTTGAAGGAGCTAAGCAGAGTGAGAGTCCCTAATGTTCTATTTTCACCCACTATGAATACATTGGTTCTTGCATTGGTTGCATGAATTAGCCACTGCTTAGGACACGTTTCCAAACAGTCAGATCACTGTCACTAGGATATAACTGCTTCCTAGTTAGAAGTCAAGAAAGGAAACATTTTTGGTTAGTAGCCAAGATATTCCTTTCCCACCACTAGGCTTCCCTTATCTCCCAGCTCCCAGGCATAAGTATCAGGGCTGATAAAGTGTTTTCTTCTTTAGTGCCACACAAACAAGAGGCAGTATTGGGAGGTAACACCTTGGAACTAATTCCTTCATCCCAGGGGACAATTAACTATCACTGACAGGTAACACAGAGACTTCAGTCTCTAGGTCACTGGTTCACATCCAGGTCAGCAGTAACTGAAAGGTGTTACCAGCTGATGGATGTCTTGGGATATCAGTCCAAACCCCTGGGGGAACAACTGTCCATATCACCAAATTCTCTGCTGGACTGACCCCCGTGTGGAAGTTTCCACAGAGCAGTGAAAGACTAATTGGGCCATGAGGACAGAACGTCCTTCTCCCCTGTAAGAGTGGTCCCTCCCGATCTGGGATAAGGCATTCTGGTAGAGCAGCTGGCACCGCCGATGCTGTACCCTGTTCAGCAGGGGAACACACCTCTTCTTTGCTGTCAACCTAAAAGTTTTCCCAAGCACTAAATCCTCACAGAAGATACATTTTAAAGCCCAGCTTTTGTAGAGAAAGGAAGCAGAAGAGATCGGCTGCTTTGCCACGGGGAGGAATTCTGCTGTGTCCAAACACAGGCCATCAGCAGCCTCTCCCTACAGTCCCACTCTCTTTGGCTGTGCAGAAGATGGAACCACCAGCACCCTTCCCCTAAAGATCTCAGCAGCAGAGCCTGGTGGAAAAATAATTCCAGGCCCATTCTGCTCAAACACAGGCCAGAGAGTAATAGAGTCCCACTGCTTTTCTCACCATATTGTAGAGGTCCAGCAGGTAGAACTGCTGGATATGCTGGGCCACGTTCCTCTCAGCGGCACAGAAGTCAGTGTGGCTGAACTGGGGAGCATTTGGCCAGCTATTCACAGCCATGCATCTCTACTAACAGGAGACACCATAGCCCCTGGGGAAAACCTCAACAGCTGAGTGTTAAGGTCTGTCTTAAGTCTCTGGGAGACCCCCGGCCAGCTATGTGCAGTATGGGGCCCCATTTTCTCCTGAAAACAATCCTCTGTAGCAAAGTAAAACCTTCTCTGAAAGGCTTCATGCTTCCACGCTCCCCCCACGTCTAACCTGTCCATTTGATGGGTCCCTCCCCAGCTCCCTGTCCTTGGTAGGTTGAGAGTGTCCCATAGAATCCATTCCACCTGATCCTGCTTTGATTTAACCAGATTGCATGGAGGCTGCAGTCCGCAGCAGTAATGGACAGCAGGTAAAGCATATGAATTAGAGCATCATCCCATGGCTGCAAGGAGGCCGCGGAACACTCCATTTACCCGTCAAACAAGCCAGAACTTAGACAGTGGGCAAAGTAAGATCTGGGGATCCGGTCACTAGGAACTGGAGTGTGGTGCCTATTCAGTTCGAGTTTGGATTTGATGAAAATGTTATGGCAGGAGGGGAGCCAGGTTCCCGGGCAGGGCAGAAATAGCTTTCTACTGACAGAGGTAAAAATGCTGCTTTCTACCACCAAAACCTCAAACCAGGGGCCAAATCCTGAAGTCCTCCAGCACGCACCTCTCTTGCAACACTCAATGGGAGTCTCGGCCGGGCAAAGCCCTAGGAAGAGCTTCCAGGCTTGATCCCACCCAGTAGAATTTTTTGCACCATTTGCTGTCACATTTCTGTGCACATTTCCAGTGACGGTCACTAAAAATAACATCGGACCGGGTTTGGTCAGCATCTCATGCAGCAAACACCCCCAGCTCTGCACAGCTACTGAGCATCACTTCTTTGCAGTACCTCCTCTGGGTACAAGATGGCAGCAATGAGACGATGATTCCGTCTCCTAGACTAGAGTTCTTTTTTTGGATGTCCCATTTATGTTCTAAAAGTCACACGCCTGCGGTGGGATCGGCAGCTGAGGCCCTAGCGTGGGCGGCAACAGCTGCAAGAGCGGAAAGAAGAAACCTCCTTCTAAAAGCAAAACGGCAGCGTGAAGGGTGTAGAAAAGCAGCCGGGACTAACCTGAATGTTCTGTGTGTTCTTCTGCAGCCTCTCCATTTCGTTGTTCAGCTCGGTGACGTAGCTGAAATACGCAAAGTTCTTCTCCTCTTTCTCGATGAAATCGGCCACCAGTTGGCCAATGTCCCCGTCCTCGCTCAACTTCAGCAGGCGCATGTAAGCCACCTCATAGCTCTCAAAGCTTTCGCCTTTGCTCTTTCTGGCCCGCTTGCTTGCCTTGAGGGCTGGAAGAGACCAACAGCAACGCGCAAACTGCTGGGGCAGCAAACTACCTCCGTTTCTTGTCATTTCGGCCATGCCCATCGCTGGGCAAACTCAAAAGAATTCACCTGAAAACACTGGGGATTAAATTCATGCTCACCGGGGGGGCGGGGAGGGAGAGGTGGGGGGACGGACGGACGTGGAATGCAAACTCAAGAAGGCCAACAAAACCGAGAGCAGGGCTGGAGAACGGGACATGCCAGAGAGACCAAGGGAGCTGATTTATAGAGACTATGGGTACATCTACACAGCAGCTGAGAGTTGTGATAGCACTTAAAGATAGCAGTGTGGTTGGGCGCCTCGGGTGAACTCCTGCCCGACACCCTGGCTACGTACCTAGGGTGGCTAGCCCAAGCCACTAGCCAGGCTGCCCTGGCCACACTGCTATGTCTTGAGCAGATCTAGAGCACGTACATCTACCTGACCTGGGATTACACCTCCCAGCTGCTGTGTAGACATAGAATAAGAAAACCCAGGGGGGCGCACATGGCCCATAAGCACCTGCAAGGTAACAGTACAAGTGGAGGATGGGAATTTCTCCCTGAGGATGGCAGGAGAAATGACCTCTGCCCTCAGTCCCATCGGTGCCACCTCACAGCTGAGGCGAAACAATAAATGATTAGCCCCCTCTAGTGTACACTGAAACTAGAGCCTGTTTCCCCTCCCCCACCAACACCTCTCTCCAGCGCCTCTCTCCCTCCTACTGTCGCAAGGTCCCATAGAATCACAGAAATGTAGGCCTGGAAGAGACCCCTGACACCGGCTGCCCAGTTACACGCTCACTGATGGTTGCCTGGTTTAAATCAGGAGTAACACCGTGGAAGTCAATGAAGTTATCCTGGAGTGAGTGGAGAACCAGACCATGGTGTCTCCATAGTGTGGACCATATCCTAGTTCCCCTAAAGCCAATGGGATTTTTGCCAATGACTTCAGCACTAGCAGGATTTAATCCTCTGTCCACAGACGCCCAAATGGCCTTTCACATCATCATTACTTTTATGGATAATGCCACCCATTCTGTGGGAGAGGGTAGGGGCATTCCCTGGTCCCCCATGAGCAGGGGGTTAACCCCAGCTCAGCGTACCCATCCCCTCACAGTGCTGGGGTTATCGGAGTGAGAGACACAGGGGTGAGAACCTCTCTGGGAAGGGCAAGACAAGGATGGACCCCAATCTGAGAGTGTTCTGTCTTGTTATGAACATTTTTCTCAAAGGACAAGACCCAGCTGACTCTGACCATGAGGTTTTATGCTGAGTCACACACCAGCTTCTTCTATATGGGGGACAGGGGGTGAAGGGGTTGTTATCCCATATGGTACCTTCTTCCCTTTTGGCCTGTTCCTCAAAGTCTGAGCGATCCACTAATTTGATGAGCATAAAGGCTTTCAGCTTGGTCTCGTGGTCAAAGACACGTTCCAGTTCCCTGAATTCCACATTATACTGTGCGATGTCTTTGCAGCGCCTTTCCTTCATGGCGGAAATCCGTGCCAAGGCCTCCACCCTAGACCCAGCCAGAAATCACACAACGCGCCCCGTTAACTAGTTAGTCTTCACTGTGTGACAATCCACACGTCTCGTTCCAGACACGGGTTCAACCATTAGCTAGCAGCATGGACAGCTCAACAGCACAACTCAGGAGAATGGGATATAGAGTCTTTCCCCGTAAGGACATTGGCTAGACTACGGCCCAGGTTAGTAGTCACCAAGTGTTGTGCCAGCTTAGCTGCTGTTCGGTGGTGCATGGGAAATGACTTGGTGTGGTTCAGTTTCCATAGGACAGAAGTTCACTACCCCATAAACCACCACTGCAATAGACCCCCCGAGTCTTAGCTAAGAGGCCAAGTGTTTGACTGGGCCATCCCTACACGATCCCGGTTGAGGTGCACTGGTAGTGGGCAGTTGGGTGAAGACCACCCCACTCTGCCTGTCCTATGGATGAGTAGAGGAGCTCAGATTCTAGGCCCATCAATCAGGCATCTTTCCTGGGCACTAGAAAACTCATCTAGGCCCACATTTTCACAGTGGATTTTAACTTTGCTTGTGGTGCCCAGCTTTGGACATCTAGGGCCTGATTTTCACAGGTGCTGAGCACCCACAGCTCCAGTGGAAGTCAATGGGAGCTGCCAGAGATCAGCCCTTCTGAAAATCAAGTCCCGAGGATTTAACGTTGGGCACCCAGAATCGGTGGGCACTTCTTAAACTCTGATCCTAGGTGGATATTTATTAATGAATAAAATGGGCATTTGTGCCCTGGAGAGCAATACCAAATGTACTGCCAAGAGCTAGCGTGGCCTGTGCCTTTTCCTCTCCCATTTACCGCTGTTCGTATGCTTGGCCGGACTGCTCAATTGCAGTGTCCATTGTTTTCTTCCGCTGATCTAGTGTTTTATGAAGTTTTGAATACAAGTTGTCAAAAATAGCTTTCTGACATCGCAGGTTTTCAATCTCTTCTCTGAGTGTGGCATTCGTGGTCAGGATGGTGTCGAAATGGACAGTGACCTGGGAAGACAGGTTGCAAATGAAAAGTCTGTAAGGGAGGCAGAACAGGAAAGAGGAGCCCAGCTATTATGGGTCAAACAACATAGAATCATAGAATATCAGGGTTGGAAGGGACCTCAGGAGGTCATCTAGTCCAACCCCCTGCTCAAAGCAGGACCAATCCCCAACTAACCAATTCCAGCAGGGCTAGGACAAACACAGCCCAAGGAAGTCTTAAGTGGGCCCTCTGGCTACCCTTGTCTTTAATACAGCAGCACAGCCCACTGAACCTATGAAGAGGCCACTTGGATCACGATGGAGCTGGGATCTGTTGCTATTGAAGTCCCCCTGCCCTGTATCAAAGATGATTGGCTGCAATCGGCTTCATTTTGCTGCAAAGTAGGCGTAGCCCTTACAGCTCCTGGGAAATTGCAAACATTGCTCTTGGATGGACAAGCCTGAAAGAGCCGAGGATGTGCAATATACAGCAAGAGTGAGCGGGTCAATGAAGACAGGAAAATTCCTTTGCGTTGCTTGGGTGAACCAGCAGTGCTTGAATTTTTAAATTATCTTCATAATAGAAAAACATCTTGCAAACACTCCACATACAGGTAGCCAGCTAGTCGAGGAGCTGCAGTGCAAAATGTATCAACAGCATGGGAAAGCAATTGCTCACATGGTTTAGGCGATTCTCCAGCATCTGAATCTGCTTTTGCAGCCATTTGCTATCATTCACTTGTCTCACCTTTGCTACAACCAATTTTTGGGTTTTGATCTTTTTTTCCATCTCCACAACCTAAAAAAAAAAATAAAAAAAATAATCTATTTTTACATTCTGGATTTTTGTCAGTGTGTTTAGCCAATGTAAATACCCATGTGTTGACCTGAACTACAGTAACCCATGTCAGTCATGATCTTAAATTTATAGAGCAGCTTTTATCCCAAACGATCCCTCTTTACAGACACTGAAGTACAAACTACAAACAGGAGTCACTTTATTTTTATGTCACCACTGAAATACGGCTACCTCTGGGGTGAAACAGCAGCTGTTTAGGGCACAACAGGCGCAGCAACACTATGCAACAGAGTAGAATAGAAAATGTAGAATATTTTATCATGGTACCTCTTGTGCCATGGTCCACGGGCCACCTACGGTCTATGGAGCTCTTCCTGAAGGTGCATATAATGAAATGTTTGGAAAAATGGGGAGTTGGAAGAAACTCCCAACACAAAGTGGTCAGAAGAATGAAACGGTTGGAAGACCCCCTGAAACTGACCCCTACCAGCACGATGGTCAATGATTCCATACTGACTCACAAGGGAAGGTGCCACCTACTGAATCTCCCAGATCACTTCTGCAGCATTTGGGTGTTCCTTGGTCTCCTCTAAAAATACTGGCCAGACCCAACTCTGCTGAGCCTATAAGAGCTGAGGATATTTTTATTGTACGTATTTGGTTGTTTTACTTAAATGTCAAGTCTCAGGGCACATAAATGAATGTAACAAAAAACACTGTTTTTGCCTCTTTTCCAAGAAAAACAATGACAGCAAGCGTGGGGTAGGGAATATTCCCCAGCAAATCCCACACTCACTTTTCCCCATCCAGATCACCCCCTCAAACCATAGTGGTGTATAGGAACACAGGGACCAGAGTCAAACCCAAAGTCACAAGGCGAACTTCCACTGACTGTAATAGGAACAGATTAGGTGGTCCATAATGTCTTCAAATCATGTGATCTTTTGCTCAAGAGGTGACATTATATTCCAAGGCCTGAGCTGACACAATTTATATACAAATGCTTCAAACACAAGATTCCCCCGCAAACAAACTGCAGACAGGCAAGGTTTTTTCCCCCTAAGATTTTAATTATTTGATTCAGAGCTTTATTCCCTTTGGCTATTTCATGCCATGATATTGCCATTGTGGTGATCAAACTTATTAGGTCACAATCCTTTGAGTTACGTTATCAGTTAGAGCAGAAACCTGAAAACATATAGCCAATTTAGGGTCAGATCCCAAGACACTTACCTGAGTAGTCCTTACTTATGCAAGAAGTCCCACTTACTTCATTGGTACTACTCAGGTAAGACTTACTCAGGTGTGTAATGGATGCATTGCCGGGAACCTTGGTAGCAATCAGTGAATTGCTCTTTTGACAAGCTATGAAATGTGAAGACACCTGAAGCCGTACAGCTGCAAAGCGAAGAAAGAGCTATCATCCCAGTTGTGACAGATAGGAGGGCGTCGCTTGTTTTGTGGCTTTGCTAATGTATATCATGTTTATCCATTGAACTGTTCAGATACTCTACCTTATCGTCAAGTTCAGCTATCAGGGCTTTTGTTGCTCTAATCAGAGAATCATATTCCTCTTTGGTCTGTAAAAGAAATTTAAGCTCCATACAATTTCTGTCATCTAACATCATATTCCTCTGTGACTTTGTGAGGCTCAAGAGTAATGCAATCTCTTCGTGTTCCTGCTTCAGTGAATATATTTCTTTTCTGTAGAAAAAATAATATTTGGCACTTAGCATCTTCAAAGCACCATGCAAACATTAACTATTTTACCCTTGCAATTTCAGCTTCTAGCGAGGGAGAAATTAGTTTAGACAAATTATTTTAAAAGACATAAAAGACATTCCCCAACCAAAAAAATTAAGAGTTTTTCCAAAAATGTATACACTTTATAGCCTAATCCAGCTGTTCTCTTGAATTTAAAACTCCCACTGATTTCAAAGGGAGTTCTGCATAAGGAAGGAGCAGGACCTAAATAAAGGGTCTCTAATTATTCTAAGCAAATAGATTAATGCTGTGAAAGCAGGAAATTCAAAAGGTTATCAAGAGAATAATATCACATAAAGAACCCAAGCCTGTATTTCTTGTGCATCCAATATTCCCAGTGGACAAACCTGGCCTGGAGGATTGGGCCCAAAGCCCATAAATGTGTGCTTTTCGGACCTTCAGTATCATGTAGTATGCAAAACACAGAGGGTCGTATTCCCAACTGGTGCACACTGGCATAGTTCTGTTGCAGTTGATGCAGCTACACTGTTTTACACTAGCCGAGATCTGGTTCAGAGTGATTTTAATGTAACTGCTCCTGGCATAAGTAAGAGCAGAATCAGGCCCACAGGGGACATGTGCAGCCCAAATTTGAAGGTGTCTTTTCTTATTCAGTCGCAGACTAGCAAAATGAAGCTGCCCTTACTCCTGATGGTACATTTGCTGTTGAGCCTTGACACCAAAAGACTTCCGTCTCTCTACCATGATCCGAAACTGCTGCTGCAGCTTCCGGAGCTCCGTCTCAGCCATCTTCTCCTTCTCCTTCTTGGTGAATTCCGAAGGGTCACTCCTGGACTGGGACTCTTTCCACCGCTGGGGAAATGGTACAGTTTTGTCAAAATCTTACTAACTCTTAGTGCCTATATACAGTAACACCTTCTATTAACTAACATTAACTAGTTCAGCCTCATAGCTGTGCTGAGAGCTAGGGAAGTAGTCCTATCCCTGTGTTACAGAGGGGAAACTGAGGGACAGAGAAGGCTTTGTTGTGGCTTTAAAAGCCACAACAGCATTAGGGGATGTCCTGCAGCTGACAGAGTTAGGCAAAAAGTCTGCAGGGTCTCTAGGGAAGCACAAGCAGGAGCAGCAATTGCTACACTCTTGTAAAGGGTGCAGCATTGTCCGCATGCCTGACTTGAGAAGTTTTTGTGTACAGGAGTAGGGTGTGGTCATGGCTGTGATACCCCCATGGGCTGCCGAACACCACAGCAGGCACTAACACTGCTTTGCACCTGGAAGTCCAAATCTCAGGCCCCCAGGACAGGAGCACAAAGATGCGGGGCAAGGACTCACAGCACCTTCTTCCCCCGGTTCCACAAAGCCACTACAACAACTCGATGACAAAGGATCAGGCCATAGCAGTGCCTGGCTCCCAGGCCACTGCTCCAATCACTAGACAATCCTTCCCCTCTAAAGCCAGCATTTATTCATACGAGTTGAAATCCTGGCCCCTGGGAGTTCTGCCACTGACTTCAATGAGGCCAGAGTCTCACCCACGATCTTCTTGACAGCCGTGGGAGACAGTTTGTGCAGTTTTGCTCATAACCTTCCCTACAGTCTCTGATGTTGGCTTTGGGGATTTTTTACCTGCGAACCCTTCATTGTTTCCTGTTGACGTCAGCCTTCAGTTCTGGGCAGATACTGCGATAAGGTAAACGTAGCGAACCCTCCTCCAGAGAAGCTCTGTTCTTAAAGAAAAAATAGAGAACTAACCGGCTATGTCAGCAGATTCCCAGCACTGATTCGGGATTCAGTCTGTCTCCCCACCCCAGCCCCAAACCCCCTTTATTATCTTTGGCACATGAGCAAATAATCACAGATGGCTGCATGCTGAATAAGAGAAGAACATTTGTAGTGATGTCACTGTGAAACATGTTCCTCCTATCCAGTTTATAATTAGGGGAAGAACAGATGGTTCAAGCCTATTCCAACCCATTCAGTATCTGAGTTTCCATAGAAATCATAGAAAGAGCTCATGTTTGCAGAGCAGCTGCATGAACCATACAGCAGGCATGGGGACGAAGGGGTTAAAAGAAGATTGGGGAATCAGATTCTGCCCTCGGCTACGGGCACAGAACTCCTACTGGCTTCAGCAGGAGAAGTGACGGTGGACATCAGGGCAGAAGTTAGCCCCAGGATTTCCAACCCCTCTTCAAATACAGCCCGGACAGTCATTAGTCATCAGTATGGGATAGCTCAGTGGTTTGAGCATTGGCCTGCTAAACCCAGGGCCATTTAGGGATCTGGGGCAAAAATCTGTCTGGGGATTGGTCCTGCTTTGAGCAGGGGGTTGGACTAGATTCCTCCTGAGGTTCCTTCCAACCCTGATATTCTAGGATTCTCCCACTGGCTGCAATGAGAGTTTGCACTGTGCCAGGACTGAAGGCCAGATTGAGCCAGACCTTTCGGCAGGGGTGTAAAGGAGCCGAGGTACAAGGGGCCTTCTCTCCCTTCCCTTGCGGCATCTACATCAGGGCCCGACTCTGCTCCCTCCCTACTCCTCCAGGGTCACCCGAAGGGGACAGGGACGAGGTAGGGCCATGAATCTGCCCCCCACTCCACACAACAGGGTTGCAAGTGGCCCTCTGGATAAGAGATGGCGTATAAGGAACACTTCCCCGGCAAGTTCAGGTCAGGGATGCCACCGGCTTACTAGGGCTCACGCTGAGTGGGACAGCGCTGTCTGCCCCTTCTTCTGGGCTGCGAAATTGTGCTGCTATAGAAGCCCACAGGCTTGCAATTAGGACCAGATTTTTCAAAGAGCTCAACACATTGGATGCTGAGTGCCTTTGAAAATCTGGCCTGGATCAGGGCACCTAAACGGGAGCTGAGCTGCTGTAGAAATCTGTCGCCATTTGTGGGTGCTGAGCACCTGAAAACCTGGCCCTGGCAAACAAATCAGTGCTTACGAGAGATCCCCACACAGTATCCAACACACCCTTTCTGTCCACTACTGTTTGCTCTGGGCAAGGACTGTAAGTATATTGTGGTAACTCTAACTATGCTCAGATCTTTTACAGATACCCAGTAACAGTTAAAACTTGTCTATATTTGAGAGTTAATTCAGATTAAGGTAGGTGTAATCTGGGGAAGGTTATGAGCAAATAGCTATTCCTGAATAACTCCAGGTGTAGACAAGCCTTTACACTTAACCCGTAACTTTATTGGTTAAAAAGAGTGCACCTGCTAAAGAAAATTGAAGTCATGAGAAACTATTTGTCCAATAACTTGGTAAAAACCTCAAGGAAGGTAGAAGTCTTTGACCAGTTGTGGATTAAAGTCATTTCAGTATTTACACACGTCTTGTCTTTGGGATACACGCACAACGAGCACACGCACACACCCACTGACACCCTCGCACCCTACTAGTAGAGGAAACTTGTCACAAATCTCCTAACAATCAGGGCCAATCCTTGCAGAAATGGCCTAAAAAACTACCCCTGAAAGCTTGGTTTATCAATCAACTCTCAAATGAAGGGCCAGGCCCAAAGCCCACAGGAGTCAATGGGAGACTTTCTACTGACTTCCCTGGGCTTTGGACCAGATCCGAACACTTTTCTTATCGGGTACCATCTTTATACAACCACAGGGCTGCAGAGCGGGTTCCACTGGGAGGAGGCGGCGGGTTGTCCAGCCTCTGTAAGGGGTGCAAAGGTTTCCTGCCCCAGGAAAGCTGTTTTTAATAGATGACGTTTAGAGCCACCGGGTGTATTCCAAAGGGGAACATCAGCTCCTGCTTTCTGCGCCGGGGCCCGCCGATTTGCCGGGGGAGGGGAAGAAAAAGGCCCCAGGCCCAGCCCCATCCCACCGCCCCGTGCGTCTCCCCGGCCCTGCAGGGGCGGCCCCAGCTGGCAGCCAGCCGCGAGGGCGGGACCCCCGCCCCGCTGTCCCCACGCCCCCGCCGGGCACAGGGCGCCTACGCGGAGTGCGGGCTGTGGGAGCCCGGCCGGGGCGCTGCTCTCCTGCGCTCCGCAGCCTGTAGAACACGCCGGGCCCGGGGGTTCCCTGCACAAACGGGGCCCCTTTGTGAGGCGGCCGCCTGCCATTGGCTGCCCCGGGCAGTCGCACCCCGGGGGAGGGGCGTGGACTGGCGGGGACATGCTCCAGCGTCTGCAGGCTCCAGCCTCGCTCTCCCCCGCCCCCCTTTTATTCTTTCGTTCCCCTCCTCCGATGTCTGCTTTCCCCCCTTCCCCTACGTGCCCTCCGGCCTGTGCGGAGCTGACCCCTTCTCTCCAGGGCACAGCTCGCAGCAAAGGGCCGGGTGGGAGGCCAAGATTTCCTGGCGCCCCACGGGTCACTCCTGAGCTGCTGCATTGCCCCTCGACGCAGAGCAGTTCGCTGCTAGCCCGGCATTCCCGGGGCCCATCTCCTCTCCACTTTCAACCGCCTAGGCCAGGAGGTCGGGACCCCTCAGGGGGTCACGAGGTTATTACATGGGGGTCGCGAACTGTCAGCCTCCAACCCAGCCCTGCTTTGCCTCCAGCTTTATAATGGTGTTAAATATATTTAAAAAGTGTTTTTAATTTAGGGGGGGTCACACTCAGAGGCTTGCTATGTGAAAGGGGTCACCAGTACAAAAGTTTGAGACCCACTGGCCTAGGCATATTATTGGAACTGCACGTTTGGTGATTGGGAAGGGCTTTGACACACGAGTGGGGTTTTGTCCTCGTGTGTCTTAGGGCTGGTCTACACTGGGGGGGGGGGATCGATCTAAGATACGCAACTTCAGCTACGTGAATAGCGTAGCTGAAGTCGAAGTATCTTAGATCGAATTACCTGGGGTCCATACGGCGCGATATCAATGGCTGCGGCTCCCCCGTCGACTGCACTACCGCCACTCGCTCTGGTGGAGTTCCGGAGTCGACGGTGAGCGCGTTCGGGGATCGATATATCGTGCCTTAACGAGACGTGATATATCGATCCTGGATAAATGTATTGCTACCCGCCGATACGGCAGGTAGTGAAGATGTACCCTAAGGCGAATGCTCGTATTGTTTCGCAGGAGGGTTATAAATCACGACTCCCTAATGCCACACTGTGCTTGAAGAGATTGATGTATTTTCCTGCATCTTTTTCTGTTAGATTCGGATGGAACGATGATTATTAGATCTTTTTATTCTCAACATTCTATTTAGATCAAACTGGCATAGCTGGAAATTTTGATTTTATTTCTGAGTTCAGAAGCCAGCTCCAATTATCTAATCCACCTGATTTACACACTGTAAGTATATGGATGGATGGATGCACTGAGATAATGAGGACTTGATTACAGAGCCCAGAGGTAGATGCATGTTTTCCCATTCAGATATTCACAACTAAGGGTGTCTATGATGATATGCCTGACATAACATCTGCTTGAGTTCGCTTCCCTTATTTGCAATGGTACTTTTTTGCACAGAGTGGGTGAGGTAATATCTTTCATTGAACTAACTTCTGTTGGTGAAAGAGACAAGTTTTCTAGTTTACACAATAAAAGATATGACCTCACCCACCTTGTCTCTCTAATACCTTGGAATCAACACGGCTACAACACTGCAAACAAACTTTATGTACGTTCATTTGGTTTATAGCTAATGGTATTTCAAATTTTGCATTTGAAAATGTAGTTTCAGTCTTTGTGGAGAATCCATCCCCCAAATATTAGTGCAAATAACAATGGAGGCTGTTACTGTAGCCTTAGAAAGTAAGAAGTGAAGGACTCTGTTCTAGTGGTCGCTAGCAGAAGAGGCTAGCGAGTCAAGCAAGTTTCTGGGTTCTTTTCCCAGTTCGGCCATTAACTTGCTGTGTTCTTGGGCAGGTCACTCTGGGTATGTCTCCCAGCCCGGATCGATAGACTCACACTAGCATGCTAAAATAGCTGTGTTGATGTTGCAGCTCTGGCGGATATTTAGACTGGCCACATGAGCTCAAGCCCACCCAACCCCCTAGTGACACTGACCTATCTCACAGGGGTTTTGAGAGGACCAGTTCATTAATGTTTGTGAAATGTTTTGACCTCCTTGTGTGAGAGGTGCTATAAAAAGGCAAAGTACCATAATTAAATAACCTAACTGGCCCACAGTGAGACGTTGCAGTACCTGAACAGTACTCCAGTCCCTATGAAATCCCTATTTTGTATTAGTTGTATTGCTTACTTAGCTCTGGAATAAATGGAACTACAGGTTCACTGCTGGCAAGACAAGGGCATTTACACTCCATTTCATACGGCCAAGGTTTGCACAGTTAGTTTGAGAAAGTGAAGAACCCCCCCCCCCACAAAAAATGCATTGCTCTTGGGCCTGGTGTGTCCAGTTACTCTAAAGACCTTAAAGATCAAGTTTCAAGCTAATGCAAAGCCAGATACATGCTGATAATTTATTTAATTAAAGACAACTTTTGCTGAGGAAAATGGAATATGGCAATAGATAAACGCCAGCAGAAAATAATGAGCCTTGGGGAGGGATGATCTCAACAAAGCAGCCGAACCTGCAGCCGCATTTGATCCTGGCTTGCCACCAAGGCTAATGAGAGATTTGCTGGTCTGGGTTTCAGTGCTGCGTGGTGCAGAGTCTGGGCTGCTTCCTACTGACCGAGAGCTCTGTGGACTTGGGCTCTCTCCTTCTTAGACCATCCTGACTGGGGCACATTGCTGTTCCCCCTTCCTCCTGTTTAACAGGCAACTTCATCCATTCTTCCCATCCATGGACGTAGGAGCAGTACCTGCGCAGCTGATGGTAATGGTGCTACTGCAG